CATGGAGGTACATCACTAGCTCCTGGGAAACTTTTAAAATAAGTACAGTCTTGTACTTTAAAGTAGTGGACAGACACTATCAGTGTCCTTCCCAATCCCTTTGCTCTTAACTCTAGTGACTGACTTTCAACAATACTTTTGTACTTTGTTTGAGGGCTTTTCTCTTGCTGAAATCTCTAAGCCGATTTAGAATGCCTGGGAATTAATGCCCTCTCTGTTCTCCCATCCACTTTCCTCCTAAGCAGGCTTCAACAAAGAACTAATGAGTATTTCATATTTCAGCCCCCCTCCAACCTTGGGTGGGTTAATACTGTATGTATTGTATGTTTATGCTGACTTTAATTGTCTTCTTAACAGGATTAAACCCAGATGCCTAGAGTGGTATTTCATTTGATAAACTATTGTGACTGTCTTCCTTGTCTTATTTTGTGTAAAATAAAGGAAGTTTTCCTTTATTTCCCATATAATCTCACAAGTGAACCAAATGCACTCAATTCTTACACAGGGACTATTTGTAGGAGACCAAACAAGATGAGCATTGGTCTCAGCTATTAAATCCTAATCTCATGGATAATGGGGTCCAGTAATCAGTCAGTCCTTTATTTTAGAAAGGTCTCTAGGAAATTCTGCTAGAGTTTGGGAGTTCCTGCTTTTTAGCATTTAGTTTTGTGTCTTCCGTGTCCTATATTACATATAAGTTAGATTAGTGTCAGGAGAATAATCAACATTTCAGAATTTATTTAAATATACTTAAATATAAATGTATAAAGGTACACAATATTTGATACTTAAAAAGGAATTGGGTCTATGTAGAGCAGTTAAGTTTGATTAGGGAAAAAAATGCCTTGTTCTTTTATTTTCTCCCAGGTGCAATGTGGTGACTTTCCCCACCTGTTAGTGTATGGACCATCAGGTGCTGGAAAAAAGACAAGAATTATGTGTATTTTACGTGAACTTTATGGTGTTGGAGTGGAAAAATTGAGAATTGAACATCAAACCATCACAGTAAGCATTTTCATTTTGAGGTTCTCCAAATGTTCATGGCAGGGATTTTCATTTGTGGTCATGTGTGTACTCTCCTCCCAGTGGATGCCTAATGTATGATTTTAGAAAGAATTTTACACGTAATCCAGTTATGTTGGATTGAGAGCTCTGGATATTATAAGTAGACCTAAGTCATGTATGCTAGGAAATAATGGGCAGCAGGAGGTTTTGGATAAATTTTTGGGGCTGTCCTTACAGACTATCTAGTAAGAGGATGTTTCAGCTGGAACTAGAAGTCAAATTTCTAAATGTGGAATCAAGTGACTAGTAAAAGATGAGGCAGCTGACTGGCTGGGAAAGGAAGTAAGGCTCTGGCGGTTGAGTGGCTTCCTGTCTTTCGGTGGTGGAGCTGTAGGTCAGTGCACCACATAGTGAGTTTTGAAGCACTTTCCCTATGGATGACATTTGAGATTTAGCTGAAGTTGTGTAGAGAGCATGTGATACTCTTCACAGCCCCTGATAGAATGTCTTACTATGTATTGAAAAGTGAATTCTGAGTGTGGGTGGTACTTAGTTAATAGAATCCTCATGAGAATAAGTGGATTAGGCTACTGTTGACAAGCTTATAAGCACTTTGAGGTGCTGGTAGGTGTATCCTGGTAGAAATTCTTATAAAATATGTGGGGAAAAACTTAATAAGAAAAGTGTGGGATTGTAGGAAGAAAACTTAATACCTTACAGAAAGACAAAAACCAAGAACTGAACAAATAGAAAGATAGTGTTTGTTGCCAGTAGAAAAGTGAATTGTTAGAACTTTTAAAAGACACATTTTTCTATAGATACACAAACACACACACAGAGGCAAAAGTGAGAAACACAGTGTCCCTCAGTATGACTTGGCTTTGGAACATCCATATTACAGGTTGATGCACAGCACCAGCGTTATACCCCTTGTCTGAGAGAGATTGCCAAGATACATTGTTAAGTAGGAAAAGCAAAACACAGAAGTATGTATATGATTTCTTTTTTATATTTTTATTTTTTATGAGAAACACCAACACTATTAATGTATATATTTTCTTTATTTTTGTGTTAAAATGGAAAGTGTTGTGAAAGGATACGTGCAGATTGTTTTTAATAATTATTTGTTGATAATTGAGGATGATTTGAGGGTTTCTGGAGATAAGGAAAAAAAGCAATCATAATAAAAACAGGATGTGTGATCTGACCCACCTTACATAAAGATGTTTGCATAATGAGAATGGTGTTAATGAGATTACATTAATGGTGGCTATATCAAGTTTTATCTCTTTGCAAGGTTCAGTAGTTTATGTAATAAAAGAAAACCAAATGAAAAATACAGAAAAGAGGGGAAGTAGCCAATAAATATGTTAAATTTTTGTTGTTGTTCACAGACTCCATCTAAAAAAAAAATTGAAATCAGCACCATTGCAAGTAATTACCATCTTGAAGTTAATCCCAGGTAAATTGCTACTAGATATTTTAAGAAAAATGGCTAGCAATAAGTGTTTTAAGCAGAAGATTTTTTAAGACTTTTTTAAAAAAGAGATTAGAGCCCTTTCTTGAAATGAAATCTGTAAGATATCCACTTCAAAATAATGCAGCCTAGTGCCTTCCCACTTTCATTATTTTTCTCTCTACAGAAATCCATGTTTGACACGAAGTACATGATGTTAGTGACTTTGTTAAATTATACTGCTCATTGTGTAGTGATGAGCAAAGTGTGTCTAAAAACTTTATACTATATGGAGTGAATATTTCAGAAAATGAATTTGGATTGCCAGATCTTTCTTTGCCATGTCTTATGTTTTAGTTTCTTGTTTAGAAGGTCTTATAATAGTGTACTAACCAATATCTATGTCTAGAATTATATAATATAATTAGGATTTTGTTGGGGAGACACCAAAGACTCTTACAGCCTCAGTATAAGAGGTAAAGCTTCAAGATTCCATGCGTTCTGATGCATTCTTTTCTTTGTTTTTGGTGGTACTGGGGTTTGAACTCAGGGCTTCATGCTTGCTAGGCAGGCTTTCTAATGCTTGAGCCACACCTCCAGTCCCAAAGGCTATAGACAAAACCCAATTTAGGGTATTTTTCTGATGCACTCTTTTTTTTTTTTTATTATTCATATGTGCATACAATGTTTGGGTCATTTCTCCCTCCTCCCCCCACCCTCTCCCTTACCAACCCACCCCGCCCCCTCCCTCGATACCCAGCAGAAATTATTTTGCCCTTATCTCTACTTTTGTTGAAGAGAGAGTATAAGCAATAATAGGAAGGAACAAGTGTTTTTGCTAGTTGAGATAAGGATAGCTGTACAGGGAGTTGATTCACATTGATTTCCTGTGCGTGTGTGTTACCTTCTAGGTTAATTCTTCTTGAACTAACCTTTTCTTTAGTTCCTGGTCCCCTTCTCCTGTTGGCCTCAGTTGCTTTAAGGTATCTGTTTTAGTTTCTCTGTGTTGAGGGCAACAAATGCTATCTAGTTTTTTTAGGTGTCTTACCTATCCTCGTATCTCCCTTGTGTGCTCTCGCTTTTATCTTGTGATCAAAGTCCAGTCACCTTGTGTGTTTGCCCTTGATCTAATGTCCGAATATGAGGGAGAACATACGATTTTTGGTCTTTTGGGCCAGACTAACCTTACTCAGAATGATGTTCTCCAATTCCATCCATTTACCAGCGAATGGTAACATTTCGTTCTTCATGGCTGCATAAAATTCCATTGTGTATAGATAACACATTTTCTTAATCCATTCGTCAGTGGTGGGGCATCTTGGCTGTTTCCATAACTTGGCTATTGTGAATAGTGCTGCAATAAACATGGGTGCGCAGGTGCCTCTGGAGTAATCTGACTCACATTCTTTTGGGTATCTCCTCAAGAGTGGTATTGCTGGATCATATGGTAGATCAATGTTTAGCTTTTTAAGTAGCCTCCAAACTTTTTTCCAGAGTGGTTTTACTAGTTTACATTCCCACCAACAATGTAAGAGAGTTCCTTACCAACACCTGTTGTTGGTGGTGTTGCTAATGATGGCTATTCTAACAGGGGTGAGGTGGAATCTTAATGTGGTTTTAATTTGCATTTCCTTTATTGCTAGAGATGGTGAGCATTTTTTTATGTGTTTTTTGGCCATTTGAGTTTCTTTTGAGAAAGTTCTGTTTAGTTCACATGCCCATTTCTTTATTGGTTCATTAGTTTTGGGAGAATTTAGTTTTTTAAGTTCCCTGTATATTCTGGTTATCAGTCCTTTGTCTGATGTATAATTGGCAAATATTTTCTCCCACTCTGTGGGTGTTCTCTTCAGTTTAGAGACCATTTCTTTTGATGAACAGAAGCTTTTTAGTTTTATGAGGTCTCATTTATCTATGCTATCTCTTAGTTGCTGTGCTGCTGGGGTTCCATTGAGAAAGTTCTTACCCATACCTACTACTAATTGCAGAGTATTTCCTACTCTTTCCTGTATCTGATGCACTCTTGAAAGAGGAAAAGAATGCAGGACCTCTTTAGGCAGTGGGCAGCCTTATGGGCAGCGGCCTTGAAATAAGAGTGAATATCCATTTTAAGGAGAGGCAGAAGATGAATGGAGTAGGAGGAATAGAGTTTTAAGCTAATGTCTGTGGTATTGGGTAGTAGGCACTGTGTGAGAAGTTTTGCATGGATTATGACATTTATTCCTTAAGACAATAAACAAATAGGTATTATGATTTTCCCTAGTATTTCACAGAAAATTAAGAGCAATAAAGTTGATGGGAATGAGTCAAATAAAAGTAGAAGGGGAGCAGTAGTTCCTTAAGCAAGTGGGAAATGCTTTGGATTTTTGGCTAGGAAGATCATAAAAGAGGCTGTCTAGATGTATTGATCTAATTACACTGACTTGGGAAAAACTAGTTGAGAAAACAAAACTGTTACTTTGTCCCCCTGTTATTTTTACGAGTTCCTCTGAGGTAAGAATAGCCTATTGTTTTTCAGGTGTTTGAAATTAGTATTAATTTAGCTTTAATTAACAGATGATATCTTTTAGTTTGAGAGGTGAGTTACCTAAGTATTAAAGCAATAATATAGGTGTAAATGACAGGTGTATGCCTATAATTAATGAACAGTTCATATCTTAAACTTAGTTTGCTTAATCCAGATCCTGGCTAAGTCCCTGAATCAGCTCAGTGTTGTGCTGCAAACACATTTCTGGGTTTGTTTCTTTCAGACCTTAGCTATTTTGGGGATAGGGAAGAGGAGTTATTTTATAAAATAACAGTTATTTTTATATTTTGATAATTATAGCTAATTGAGATATTTGCTGTAATTGGCTGTTAACTTTCTATAATGGGTACAAAAATGTGAAAGTATTTGCTAAACTGTAAATTATTTGTTACTGCTTATTTTAAGTAATAGTAAACTTAATGTAAGAACATGTTTAGTGCTTTCAGTGATAATCTAATTAGAATATTAATATTTTTAATGACCTTAAATCATTTCACTTTTAAAGTAGTGTCAGTAGTTTTGACTAAAATTCTAACCACTTAAGATCTTCAACAACAGCCAGGCAAGATGATATATGCCCACAATCCTGGCACTAGGGAGGCTGAGGCAGGAAGGTCTCCCTCCACTTTGAGGCCAGCTTGGGCTACATAGCAAGATCCTGTCTCAAAAAACCCCAGAGCAACAACAAAAACCAAACACACACACACACACACACAGATCTCCAACATTTTTCCTATAATAGCAGATTAAGGACAAGGACCTATTTTGTAAGTATTTACAGTTATGTAACCATTTTTCTTTTGTGTAGTGATGCTGGAAATAGTGACCGGGTAGTAATTCAGGAGATGTTAAAAACAGTGGCACAGTCTCAGCAACTCGAAACAAACTCTCAAAGAGATTTTAAAGGTAAGTGATTGACTTACCACTAATGCCAAGCATTAGTGCTCCCCTTTTTTTGGTTATACAAGTGAACAAAGAGAACCTTGATCTCTGTGCTCATGGGAATTCAGTCTAATAGAATTAATTTAGTGGGAGGAAGAGCTGTTGGTGGCAACTGTTTGATACTTTAGAACAAGATGAGTAATGAAAAACCACTTTAAACAATTACATGATCGTAAAATATTCTTAAGAGCAATGTTTTATGTTCTGGATTATCAGCTGTTTCCACAAACAGAAAGAAAATTAATGTTCCTAAAATCCCATTAGCCAAAGACAGCTATTATCAACAGTTTGGTCTTTGCCTTCCAGTATTTTCCTGTACACATAATTCTTACAGATAAGATTTTGTAGTACTAAATATGCTAGCATTTAATTCTTTTGGTGTATTTTGCCAAATTCTTCATCTCAACAGTTAACAGCAGTGAAGATAATTATTTTTAATCTTTGCTAGTTTGAGTGGAGATAATAGTGTTTTGTTTTTTTCTTCTGTTGAGGGTGATAACTTTGTTCATTACTCATTTTTATTTTGTGAATTGCCTGTGTTTGTTCTTAAACTATTCCTTATCTTTCCTTCTCAGTGTCTGTATTTCAAAATTGCATTCATGAATTTACTTTTTTGCTACTACAAATGGAGTCTTATATTTTCTAACTTTTTTTTTTTTTTTTTTATTATTCATATGTGCATACAAGGCTTGGTTCATTTCTCCCCCCTGCCCCCACCCCCTCCCTTACCACCCACTCCACCCCCTCCCGCTCCCCCCCTCAATACCCCGCAGAAACTATTTTGCCCTTATCTCTAATTTTGTTGTAGAGAGAGTATAAGCAATAATAGGAAGGAACAAGGGGTTTTGCTGGTTGAGATAAGGATAGCTTTTTAATTTAATTAACTTTTTAATTTAAATGGCAGTTACTGATTTTTTTTTACTTTATATCATATGTTATTTAATTTTCTAATTGTAATAGTCTTTGTTTAGTTTCCTTTGAATTTTTCAGGTATATATTCTTATATGTAAATAGAGAAAGGTTTTTTTCCTTTCTGTTTTGTTTGGCTCTTATCTAATTATGTTGGCCAGTCCCTCCAATACAGTGCTTGATAGAGTAATAGAGACAGTGGACATCCCTGCTGAAAATCTGGAAGGAAAGCCTTAAGAGTTCCCCATTTAGTTAATTATTGGATTTTGGTGTAAAGTATATGTATTTGATCATGGTTAGGAGGGATTCATCAATTCCTGTATTACTGAATGTTTCCAACATGAATGTGTGTTTGTCTAATGCTTCTTCTACTTCCATGAATGTGGTTCTATGATTTTTCTTCTTCTATTAGTATCATAGGTTATATTACTGTATTTTCTAATATTAACATTTTTAATATTAAATGTTCTATATTTTTTACTTGGCCATGATATTTTTCTTTTAAACACGTCTACCAATTACTTTTTGGGCAGTATCTCCAGCATTACTACACAAAGCAAAAATAATGGTATATATGTACAAATATTTTAGAAAGTACTATGCCCTTATTCTTAATCAGTTATAAGAGATATGTTGAAGATCTCTTATTAAAGGAAATATGGTTAAGATTTGGAATTTTGATTAAAATAGTACTTCATATAATTATAAACCTTTAAAAGTGACAAGTTTTAGGGTCATTAAAAATACTAACAATAGTGTGGCTTGGTGGCTCAAGTCTAATCCTAGCTAGTTGTGAGGCAGAGATCCAGGGAATTATAGTTTGAGCCTGGGCAAAAAGTTTGTGTGACCCCATTTCAACTGATAAAAGCTGTGTCTATCATCCCAGCTACACGAAGTATAGGTAGGAGGATTGTGGTCCAGGCCCCTGAATAAAGTGAGGCTTTATCTCAAAATAACCAAAGCAATAAGGGCTTGAGCTGTGGCTCAAGTGGTAGAGCACCTGCCTAGCAAGTGCAAGGCCCTCAGTTCAACCCTTAGTACCACCAAAACCAAACAAAACACTAACAATATTCTATAAATATCAATAAAATTAGATCAACATCACTAAAAATAGTAAACATATTATATTCTTACATTAAGTTTACTGTTATATAAAAAGAGCAAAATCACTAATATTTAAGTAACACTTAAACAAATAATTTTAAGTCTTCTGTATCTAAAAAGGTGTTCTGCTTCTGTGCTTCTTTCTCTTTAACTCTGTTTGAATTCAGCTCTGAACCTTTTCTGTTGATCACTTTTTTAAAAAAACAGTAGTTAGTTTGCCTATACTCTTACGAAGAAGAATGAAGCCAGAGAGGTTTTCTAGGCTTGGGGCTGTAGAGCTGCCCTTGTTTTGTTTGTTTTTTTTTTTTTTTTTTTCACAAAGCAATAGAATACATGACCTTGTGTTCTGAGCTCTATCCAGTCTTCTGCCACTCTGTCTCTCTTTTTCACATTCTGCTCATTCTGTTTCTGGGGTTTCTTACTATGTAGCAGTGTCTTAGTGGGCAGCTTTGTTTTATTTTCAGACCTTTTTGCATTAGGATTCCCTTTCTCAGCCATGAATTGGGGTCCATGGAATCTGCCTTTTAATTAAGACTGCTGTTTTCAAATTGGCCTGTGACTTCCATTGTGTTCACATGGCAGTTTTGGGGTTCTGTTGTCCTACAGGCACTCAGTGGATTCCTGGTGCTAGTACCTTGTGTGTCTTTTCAGTTGTCGTGCTCATTCTCACTTGCTCACATTTAGAGTTCTTAGTAAAACTTGACACTTAAGGTTTTTTTTTTAAGTTTGAACTCAGGGCCTGGCACTTGCTTTGCTTGGCATGCTCTCTACCACTTGAGCCCATCGTTTAGTTTTAATGTAGATGTTCATGGGTAAACTTTGGTTATGGGATCTTTAGTTCTCTGTTTTTAATGGGGAGATTCAAATGTTACATTGCTGTCCCTGTTGTTTTCTAGAAACAGGTTTATTTTCTTTTTTGGCAGTACTGGGGTTTGAACTCAAGACTTTATGCTTGCCAGGCAGGCATCCTGCCACTTGAGCCATACCTCCAGCTCTAATTTTTTTTTAATACAATGACAAATACAGAGGTTGTATTCGGTCCCTGTAGCTATACTATTCCTGAACTATTTTAAGGCCAATCCTTCTTTGTGGCCAGGTAGAATCTTACTGTGCAAATGTCCAGATACCTTTATACCTCAGTGGCTGCTTCTCTTACAGCAGTGTTTTCCCCAGTATATTCTTTAGAATTCAAGGTGTGGTGCAGTACATCTTTGTCTTAGTAAATTTCAGTGCATATAAATAATAGAGGCTGGCATGAATTCTACAACAAAATAACCTCTTAACTTCATTTCGCCTAGTGTTTCTTAGTTTTGTTTGATTACAAAATTTTTAAGAATAAAAATGAAATTATTCTTACCATGTCTGTAACTTTAATTTGTCCTTACCAAGGGAAAGAATAAAATGTTAGGCTTATTATATTGGATTTCATTCTAAATAATGAGAAGAAAGTAAAAGAGACAGGTTAAAACTTTAATAACCTGAAGTTACAGTTTTATTTCTCTTTGGCTCAGTGGTATTATTGACAGAAGTTGACAAACTCACCAAAGATGCTCAACATGCCTTGCGTAGAACCATGGAAAAGTATATGTCTACCTGCAGATTGATCTTGTGTTGCAACTCTACATCTAAAGTCATACCACCTATTCGTAGTAGGTGCCTGGCAGTTCGTGTGCCTGCTCCCAGCATTGAAGATGTAAGTCAAGTTAAACTTTTCAGAAAAAATTCAGCTCAAATTCTCTGATCTCTGTACATCATTGCATATTTATTTTTTGTAAAAAGAGTGTAGTGTATCAATAACTCAAAAACAGATATGGATAGACCTGAAGTGCAAACTATTAATGCACAAATTAATGTAGAGAGTAGTAGTAAATACCCAACAACGATATATAGAACATATTCTTCTCTTTAAATCTTCCTTTCCTTTTAAGAAGTAGGTATTACGAATTCCATGAAACTAGATATGGGCTAATTATTTAATGTCTTTTGCCTCAAGCTCATTATTAGACTGTACGAGGAGCTTAAAAATAGGGGAGATGAATTTGGCAGGTAGATGATATGAGAATACTTCATCCCTAGGTAGGGAATCAGTGTCTGAAACACGTCAATACATACTGTATTTCTTCATCACTCTTAACAGCTATCAGTGAAAAATACTGTTTGCTCACAATAAGCAGCTTTAATAGATTTTTGTATCACTATTTTATGTAAAATAGTGATAATATGAGCATTGTGGCAGGTCAAAGTAGTAAAGTACTTTATATGTTTCAGTTGTAAAAATTTGGGATACAATATGGTTAAAAAGGTCTGTAGAGATATTAACAGAAATTGTCTCAATTTGCTTTTGCCTATTTTTGTTAATTTGATTTGTAGATTTGCCATGTGTTATCTACTGTGTGCAAGAAGGAAGGTCTGAATCTTCCTTCCCAACTGGCTCATCGACTTGCAGAGAAGTCCTGCAGAAATCTCAGAAAAGCCCTACTTATGTGTGAAGCCTGCAGAGTGCAACAGTAAGTGAAAGGGCTGGTTCCCACAGGAAACATTCTGGGACATTAGACCACTTTTGTTTATAATGTTCTCTTTCTTGTGTCATAGATACCCTTTTACTGCAGATCAAGAAATTCCTGAGACAGATTGGGAGGTGTATCTGAGGGAGACTGCGAATGCTATTGTCAGTCAGCAGACGCCACAAAGGTAACCAGTATAAAATGATGACAAAGCTTTGATTCTCAAGGTAGGACAGACAGTGGCTCTTTCATATTAGCACCATGTCATTTAGAGGGATAATTAAATCTTGAATCTAAATATTTACCTTTTAAAGAAAAAGTAGGATTTAATTCTGGAATTTAGTGATCCAGCATAGTTGTTATGTGGTGTTATGCTTTCTGTTAAGCTTTTAGCATGTAAAAGTAGAGCTTATACATAAATTAAAATGTGGAGTTTTTAGTTTTTATTTCAGAATCTTAGGTGACCTAACATTAACGCATAACATGAAGTGTCTAGCTTTCTAGTATTGAAGAGAACAGAGTATAACTTCGTAAGTGATGCATTGTGTGCTAGAAAGACACCAGAATTACAGTTATCCTAATTTAGCTAATTGTCCTTGAGCAGGTAATTAGATTTTGGAGTTTCAGCTTTTTCATTTGTGTCATGCAGATATTTTTATTTCCCTGCCAAGGAGACTTACGCCTTTGTTAGCAGAGCAAGAGAGATTGTGTGGTAATGGTTTGAGAACTAGACAACTCTGTACTCAGGCCTGCTGATAGATTCTATTAAGAATAATTTTGTGTATATGCCATCAGTACTTAGTATTTTTTGGCACATTTGTGGCAAAGTTGTTTTCATTTACTACTATGGGTCTGTCATTCAGTGATGGGCTATTCTGAAAATACTTTAAATGCTAGTTGTTTGGTTTATGTCAGCTTTGATTAAGAAAGACAGTGTACTTTCCAAATAAAAAATGACAGTCTTAAAGCTCACTACCTTGGAAAGTGTGGAGCAGGTTCCTCAGGCTCGCTGAAGCACAGCCTCATATCTTATGCCTGTGAGAACTGAGAAACCATCTTTGGACCTTCGAAAGGTAATTGATCATTTTAGGCAACAGAATAGACTGAAGTGCAGCTGATAGAACTTAAGCTTCTCTGGTTTAAATGAAAATAATGATGAGAGAAATATACTGTTTTGTTCCACTTGGTTAAGACTTGTGATGAATTACAATTTTTATAAGAATTCTTCAAAGGGATTATAACATATTTCTTGGCTAACATATAAATCAGTGGAGGTGGATAGTGATACATTGTGAGTACTTAATAAAAATTAGGGTTTGCTTTGAATTCTTATAATTCAGTTATTAGTAGTTTTCAAAAAGTGCCAAATGTTGTAAGTAGCCTTATCAGAAAAGAAACCTTGTCTTTAGGAAAAGTGTACATTCCTTTCTGGTAGATGTTGGTAATCAGCAAAGAAATTTTGACCTTTAAAGAGATGAAATTGAAACAAAATGTGTCTTAGCAGTGTTACATTTTTGTGAAGTATTTTCACACTGAAGGTGACTTTCTTCTTTTTTTCTGATTTTAAAGAAAAAAAACTTGGTAGTAGAACTTTACTATTTTTAAGGGATTTTGGTACAGATGTAATATTTGATGGTTATCAGACATGTTTTCAACTTTATTTGATTATTACCTAATTCTTCTAGCTGCTTTTGCCCTTTGCTCCAGTTTTCTGAACAAGTTTTGGGAGCTCATAAATGAATTTGTGCAAGAAGTGCTGAGGTTTCCTGTTGAAACGAATAATTGTGGGAGTTGATTCTATTCACATAAAAAGAAATTTTGCCCAATTCCAGAAAGCCTTGGGACTGACCACAAGTACTGGCAGGCTGGTGTCATTTTCATCACTGGCCTATGCAATGCTAAGTGACTATTGATGTTTGACCCCTTAGTCTTACTATAATATTTGTTTGATTCTTATTTGATCTGTGTTAGAATAGTTACAGTTTTCTTATGTGAGTAGCAATTAATAATTTAATGATTATTCTGTTATTTCATGTAACTATACAGCAATCCTATGAGAAAAACATTATTGCCATCTTTGTAGATAAGAAAAATGAGATGAAGGGAAATTAACTTGTCTAGAGATACTCAGATTAGTGAAGCGGAGATAGTCCTAGGATACTCAAATTTTTTTGACAGAAGAAATTTTACTCAATCATTTGTAACCCATCAAGAAATGAGGACACAAATACAATAAATAAATGTATTAATTTTGAAAAACTAAGTAATATTAGAAATTAACTCAGACTAATTTGAGATCCATATTAACATGTATGAGAGGCAAACAATATAGTTACCACCTTTATATAGGTAAATATGTCCTGAATCAATTTTTTGGAAATAAGCTATATGTTATCTTGTGTCATTTGTTTTTATTACTTTTGCTTTAATAATCAAGTTTTGTTTTGAGATACACAAAAGTATCAGAGGAATCATGGGTATTTGAGGCCAACTTGAATAAAATGCTGATAGTTTTCATGGAAGCTTAGCCTCCCTGAACATCAGGTTCTTTTCCATAAAAGCATGGTCATAAGGAATAAGTAGTGTATTGGAATGCACCTTGTTCAGAATAAGTTGTAAAATAAATGTTTGGTAGATGGGTATGGGATTTGAAGTAAAACATATCTGTGTTTAGGTCATGTTTTGCTGTGGTCAACTGTCAAATTAGTATTTTTTTTTTTTTAATCTAAAAGTGGAGATAATCCCCATCACAAAGGTGGCATGAGGACTGGGTTAAATTGTTTGATATAATGTGTTACATGTAGCAGGTGCTCAGGGTTTTTTTGTTGTTTGTTTGTTTGTTTAGTTTTAAATGTGGCAGGGCTTTATGCTTCAGGAAAAAAAATTTGAGTTTCTGTTTTTAAGAAATCTTTTGCTGGTGTGATAGCTCATGCATGTAATCCCAGCTACATGGGAGGCATAGGTAGGAGGACTGAAGTTTGTGGCGGGCCCAGGCAATAACACGAGATCCTATCTGAAAAATAACCTAAAGCAGAAAGAGCTGCAGCCGTGTATCAAATGGTAGATTGCTTGCCTAGCAAGCACCAGGCCTGACTTCAAATCCTAGTACCACCAGAATGAAGTGTTTTGTAAATCACTACCCTCATTTATCTGAAGTATGAAATATTTCTAGTAGTTTAGTAAAATTCTGAACATTTTTCCCCCTTTGGAGTATGGAGGTAAGTATATATAGAGATAAAAATGATTGCTTTGTGTGTTTTGGGAATTTTAATTGTTTTTATTTTGTTTGTTTTGTTTAGTGTACTGGGGTTTGAACTTGGACTAGTACTTGCTAGGCCGGTACCCTACCAGCTGAGCTATGCCTCTAGCCCTTTTTTTTTTTTCTTTATTTTCCAAATAGGGTCTTATGCTTTTTGCTCTGGGCTAGCCTTGACCTGTGGTCCTCTCTGCCTCCCGTGTAGCTGCGATTACAGGCAGGCACCACCATGCCTGGCCTTAATTGTCATTTTTTTCTTGTTTTTCTGAAATAGCATGTGTTTCTTTCTTTCACCCTTTTTGTCCTGAAAATGTTATGAGAAGGATATAGAGGTTTCATGCTTACTTGCCTGGTTTATACTTACCTTTAACCTCTTGTCCTGTTTCTTTTGTGACAAGACAGCTTGTGTCCCTATTTTTTTTTTTTTCATTGTGTAATCTAGGAGTAGCGTATTTTATGTTTATATTATTTCTTTGCCACTGTGTAAGTGACTAGTGACTGCTTAATCTTTTCACATTTTTAAGTATCTTCCTATCTGGAGAGAAAATGTAAGCATATTACTTGATATGTCATTGAAGTGTATTAAGTTTCACAATGTGAAGCTCAACCTTCACCATTCATGAAGTCTTAATTTCTACCTGGTACTTTCATGATTGATATAACAAATGCCTTTATTATAAATACCTACTTTAAGAGAATTCTGAAGACAATGTTTGTAATGAACTGAGGGCTGGGGTGTAGCTCATTGGTAAAGTGCTTGCTTAGCATGTACCAGGCCCTGTGTTCAATCCCTAGCACCACAAAATAGTTAAAAATGAACTGAAATTAAGAGAAGCTTCTATGTGTATGATAAGCTTAGAAAAATATACATGTGTTAGATGTTTTGTTAAAATTGTTCTTATTTTCATCACAAAATGTCAATTATTTTGTTTCTACATAGGCTTCTTGAAGTTCGTGTAAGGCTCTATGAGCTTCTTACTCATTGCATCCCTCCTGAGATTATAATGAAGGTAACCCAATTTCGATCTTGAACTGTTCATAAAATTTGGACTTTGGGTATATAGCCACAGGGTTTTTACAGTACTAAGGTACATTGTCACCTCTTTCCATTTCATTAATTGTACAGGCATTTATTTAGCCTTACTGTGCATTAGGCTCCATTAGGAGATTGCTAAAGAAGGGCAGGAGGACCTAGGACCTACCTTCAGGAAAGCTATGCTCTAGTGAAGTGAAATGGGAACAAGTAAAGAAGAGGATTTCAAAATGTTACAAGTGCTATAAAGGAAATGAAATGATAATAATGGAGGACTGGTCTATGGATGGGTATTTAATAGCTTCTCTGAGAAAGATATGTTTAAGCTGACAGGATTATGAGGAGGTAACTATGTAAATAGTTGGGGAACAAGCATTTCAAACAGCAAGACTCAGTGCACATAGGGAATGAGGTTAAAGACGTAGGCAGAAAACTAAAACAGATACCTTAAAAGCAACTAAGGCCAATAGGAAAAGAGGACCAGGAACTAGAGAAAAGGTGAGATCAAAAAGAATTAACCTAGAAGGTAACACACATGCACAGGAAATTAATGTGAGTCAACTCCCTGTATAGCTATCCTTATCTCAACCAGCAAAAACCCTTGTTCCTTCCTATTATGGCTTATACTCTCTCTACAACAAAATTAGAAATAAGGGCAAAATAGTTTCTGCCGGGTATTGAGGGGTAGGGGGGAGAGGGAGGGGGCTGAGTGGGAGGTAAGGGAGGGGGTGTGGGCAGGGGGGAGTAATGACCCAAGCCTTGTATGCACATATGAATAATTAAATAAATAAATAAAGACGTAGGCAGAGTCCAGACACTACAGGTTGGTCTGTCATCTACTTAGATAAAATTATTGATTGCTAGACATTAGGGAATTTGGGGGATTTTGTTTGTTTTTTATTAAAATTACATGGTAATACAAAAAAATCAAATGCTACCAACATACAAGGAAAAAAGTGAAAGTCCATTTCTGTCACTTTTAACAAACCTCTTGACATAGAAACAAGTCATTATATCTGTGTAGTTTCAGAAAAGTTCTGTTGTCTGCACAGCTGTATTATTCAACAATATAGCTTGGATATTGTTTCAGGACTACAGATTTACCTTTTTTTTTCTAGTGGATGAATGGTACTCCGTTATATGACTATGTCATCGTGTTTTGAATATGGGCTCTGCTAGTGGAAGTTGTCTGTGGATTATTATAAATAATGTGGCAATATCTTTGTATTTATTTCCTTGCACCCTTATACAATTAAATACAATGGTGCTACAGTTTGATAAGCTATAGCCAGTTATGGTGACTCACAGCTCCACAGCCCCAGTATTTGAGAAGCTAGGCAAATGGATGGATCACTTGAGCACACCAGCGTGGGCAACGTAGAGCCTATCTCCATAAAAACAAAAAAAGTGCATTTAATACGTTTAATTTAATACAACTTACTTATCAACTAAACTTCATAGATTTAACAATATAGTATACTATAGAGTGTTGGTTATTTATCCTCATGATTGTGTGACCAACTGGGAACTGTGATACCCTGCCTATCCCCAGGTGTCTTGAGAGAACATGGTGTACTGCATTTCACTATTCTGGGAAAAAGATCAAAATTCTAAGTACAACTTCTACAATACAATGTGTATTGTTTTTGCAACATCATAAAAGTCAAAGATCATTAAATTGGACTATAAGTAAGGGACCATTCATATTTGGAACGTGAAATGTGGTGTAACCACCACATTTTTATAGTATAGATGTGAAGTATGAGATTTTTAAAAATTTTTTTTCATTTTATTACTGGTTCACATAGAACAATGACGACTTCACATATATGAAAAAGAGCGTATTTAAGTTTTACTTCTTGAGTGGGAAAAATGAAGTATGTTTGGTTAATTTAATGATTCTTAAATTACTAATTATTTTTCTGTAGGGTCTTCTCTCGGAACTTTTGCATAATTGTGATGGACAGCTGAAAGGGGAAGTGGCCCAGATGGCAGCTTATTATGAACATCGTCTACAGCTGGGTAGCAAAGCCATTTATCACTTGGAAGCGTTTGTAGCCAAATTTATGGCACTTTATAAGAAGTTCATGGAGGATGGGTTGGAAGGCATGTTCTGACTTCAGTTCTTCCACGTATTTCTTAGAATCAGCATTTGCATACAGTTTATACTGGGACAGCCATGGGTAAAATAAACTAACTTTATTTTATTCATGTTTTATTTGTGTTTTTTATAATAATTCCACCATGAATTAATAATCCTCCATTAAATAATTGCTCTTCTTTTGTTGAAGTATATTGAAAAGACACATCTATAAACTTTAGAGTCCAAGAAAGTGATTTTAATTTACTTTGAGCATTTTTCAAGTATGTGTTATCAATTCTCCCATTCTCTTCCAGTCTCTCATGTGCTGAGTGAGATTTATATGTAAGAAATAAATCCTCCTGATTCACCATTTTTGGCCACAAGTACATGACTTTTTGCTTAGCAAATCATTATTTTTAATCATACTTTCCCTCAACCCAGAATTGTATTTTTGCAGGGAACATAAGAATTCTGAAACCTAATAGCATGGGTGTGGAGAAAATTTCAGGTACCATTTTTATTGAGGCTGACAATAACCTACATTTATTTCAGTGATTCAGATTGATAGTAGGTTGGTACTAAGTACTAAGAAATAAGAATGTTTTAATTATTTTATGCCCTTGGCTCCTGAAGAATATACTTCATGTAGTTCACCAGTTCTCAATATCCCTTGGTTTTCATTTTCTCATTTAGTAGTCATTAGATATGTGTGTGAGCTTATCTTAGGCCCTTAATGGTTCGTTCTTTTCTAGAAGCCCTCCATTGAATATCTGATTGGTTTGGCAGTGGCCATGAAATGGGTCTACAAGTTTGGGCTAATAAAACTATGTATGGATTTTCCTTGTTTTGCACCAAATCTGCCACTTTTATCCAGCAAAGCTGCAGGTTTTCCCTTGCTCCCCATGCTGAGTCAAATGTACTACGACTAACCAACCCTAAAATTACAAAGCTACAGCTTCTACTGACCAAGTTGTCTAGTTTGGATCTGGTCTGATTCTGCCTATCAGAGTTTCATAGTTCTCCATTGGGAAGTATGAAGAGGATGGAAACAGTCCACTATGGTGCTTACTGGATGGGTCTTTGGGAGGTGATTGGTGTTACATAAGGTCATCAGGGTGAAACCCCAATTAGGGCATTACTATTGAAGAAGAGGCAGAGAGACCAGAAGATTCAGAGGAAACATGCATTTCCTGTCTCTTGCCATGTGATGTTGCTACCTCTGGATTCTGTCAACAAGACTGTCACCAGATGTGTGACCACTTGACATTGCACCTCTAGAGCTGTAAGCCAAAATAAACTAGTTTATAAGTTACCTAGCCTCAGGTATTTTGTGATGGTAATGAAAAATGGACTATCAAATGACAAATTCATGGTGATATCACCAAGCATAGAAGGCCGTAGTGTTGCTGCCATTTTTACCTAATGCTGAGCAGTTTTTCAAGAATACACATTTTTCAATTTGTTGTCTGGTTTTGATCAGTATTTAGTAACCTAAATTGGCTGGTTTTTTGACTGTTTTGTCCATGTTTTTTCTTTCCCATATGGAAGATAATATCTTCCTGTTGTTGCTAGAAGTATACTTCCATTGGTTTTCCTTATTCCTTTTGTGTGTGTATGTGGTAGTACTTTTTAAAATTAGTATACATTAATAGGGGGGTTCTTTTTTTTTGTCTTTTGATATTTGCATGATATTGTGGTTTGAGCTCAAGGCTTTGTACTTGCTAGACAAATGCTCTACTACTTGAACCATATTTTCAGTCCATTTGCTTTTAGTTTGTTTTTCCCATAGGTAGTACTGCCAGGACTGGCATCCTTCTACCTCTCTTTCCCAAGTAGCTGGGATTAAAGGCATGCACAACCATGGCTGGCCTTTCATGCTTTTTGTAGTTTGAAATTCCAAGTTGACATTTTCCTCAGCCTGAAAAAACTTCATTGGCAATTTTTGAAAGGCAGATCTGCTGGTGATTTCGGCTAGAATTTTTTTGGAGGTTTTCTGCATTTTTTTCCCTAAAGATTTTTATTTTGAATTCTTTCTGAAAAGCATATTTAACAAATTTAGAATTTTTGTTTGATAAATTTTTTTTTCTTCTGTATGCACTTGTTTTGTCTTTGGATTGCACTGTTTCTGAAGAACGATCTGTATTCATTTTTACTGAATTCATTTTATTCCCCATGTCTGCATTTATCAGTTTTTAACCTCTCTTTATATTAGTTTCCAGCAATTCAATTAAGTATGTCTTGGGGTGACTTCCTTGTTTTTATTCTGCTTTTATCTTGCTTTTAGTTTGTTGTACTTCTTGGATTTTACCGAATTTGGAAAATTTAGCCATTTTCATCAAATGTTTTTCTGCCCCCTCTTCTGAGAATCTAGTTTGATCTCTATTTGGTAGTGTCCTATAAGTCACAGGGTCTCTCTTTTTCTAATGTTTTTCTGTCTGTAGCTAGGCATGATAGAGCCTGCCTATAATACCAGCTACTCAGGAAGAGGGAGAATCACTAGTTTGAGGCCATTCCTGACAAAGGGTAGCAAGACCCTCTATCAAAAACAAAAAAGCTGGCAGCATAGCTCAAGTGGCAGTTCCCTGTTCTTTAGTTTGAGTAGTTTATGTTGCCTTCAAGTTCACTAATCTTTTCTTTTCTACAATCTAAAGACCATCCAGAAACATTTTCATTTTAAATATTTGAATTTATCAGCTCATTTGCTTCTTTATGTTCTGTATTTCTTATTCTGTGCATGTTTTTAACTCTAGTGAAAAAAATTAATAGTTCTTTTGAAGTCAGTAAATTTCATTATATCAATCAATTTTGAATCTGTTGAGTGATATTTTTCCTGGTTGTGGTTCTCATTTTATGCCTTTTGGTATGTGTTAGGTTTTACTCCTCTGTCATCTATTTTAATATATTTGTAATATTGTAAATAGTTCAGCTTTGGGTAAACTTTGTAGGGTTACATTACAATGTCATTTTGAGTTATATTTCTGCCTGAATTCTATTGTCTTTTAAAAAGCAGCTTTGAACTTTTCTTTGCAGGGAATAATTTGTTAATTTTGTCCTTTTGCTCTTATTTTTGTTGGAGTAGGCCTAGAGTACCCTTTACTCCTAGCTTTGCTTCACAGTGGCTACTTGGTATTTGTGGTATCTTCAATGAATACCCTAGATATTACTGAGGTGTCACCATCCTTGGCCAGTGGAATTCAGATGTCCTCTAGCTTTCTGTAATCTGGAAACTGTTTATCTTGTACTTTTCAGTTGTTCTTTGTCTACTGGTTTTCCCTTGTTTTAGGTTTGTTTTTCTGTTTCTTTGCCAAGCCTTGAGGAGTCTGAATGCCTGTGCATCTTGCTAATCAGCCAAAGATACAAGGTAACTTTCAGGCACATTTCTGGAGCACTTTTCCAGGTAATTGCCTTCTTTCTAGATCTGTCTTGTGTATTTGCCACTTCAGGTTCTCCCTGAACTCTGCTCTTTCCTGATAGACTCAGTCTTACCATAGTTCACCTAGGTTTTCCCTTCTCATCCAGCAGCTGAAAAGTGCCTCCAGACACTTTTTGTAGTTTACATCATTGGTTTCTTTTCTCTCAAGCATCACAGTCTTGCACTGCCCATTATCAGGTGTCTGTTAGAATTGCTTTGTGTTCTTTGCTCAGTTTTCTTGTGTATATGGAAAGTGAATCCACTATCAGTTATTTTCTTCTAACTGGTAGTGAAAGTGGGAAAGTTATGATTATAATCTAAGGCCCTTGTTCCTGGGTGTGAATCACCATCCTATGTAGTTATTTAAAAATCTCTGACCTCATATTTTTATAATGTAAATTAACATTTTGTTCCAAGGATTTGAAGTTGTACAGTATATGTTATAGTGAAAACTTGCCAACTTGCCATGGCTTTACTAAGTGCTGTTTTATATTGCACTTAACTAAAATCAGAATTAATAACAAAATATTCTTCCAAATTACAACACTCTAAGTCATGAAGCACATTCTTTAGAAAATAAAAAATCAATCCTTGGTAGCAATTTTCTCTGTACCTAGCCCTCACGTAAAACAATCATTTCCTTTATTTCAAATTGATGAACTAAATTCCTCCTATTAGTCCTGGTTTCTTTCTTGTTTACAATACCCATGAAAATTTGGAGCATTACAAGACTTAAAGTACTTTCCTCTCTGCAGCTTTGCAAAGCAGTGTTCTCTGTAAACCTTAACTTGTGTCTAAATGATAGCCTAATGCTGATTTATAAACATTAGATGGTACGTTTGTGGTTTAGTACCTTACGTTTTTGTTGCAGCTGGTTTGATTAGTCGATTGCCCACTGAAGTTACCTTCTCTTTAATATAGCAGCATGAGGAACTTAAGTGATTTCTAAAGAGCAGCTTTGCAAAATAATCACTAGCTGTAGGCATGGAAAGAACTTTATATAGTCTTTCCAGAATAACATTAAGTACCTTTTTGTGAGGCACTATGCTAGGTTCTTTGTAGACATTCCGCATTTAATTCTAACAAGCTTTGTGCTAGACATTATCTTGTTTTACAGATGAGCAACTTTATCCAGGCAGCTGAGCACAGGCTCCACTCTTAATTCACAGTTACCAACCAAGAAATGGACCCTCAACACTGCCCAAACTTGTTTCTCTAATCAAGTCTCCACAGTGCCTCTTCTGAAACCTCATTTGGAGCACATACCCTTACGTCCTTATCTGCCAGCTGGGAAAACCAAATCTGTATGCATTCCATATTTCTGTGTCTTCATTTGTATGCATTCTGTGTCACTCTATCTGCAGCATTTGTATGCGTCCTGTCTTCTGATACAAAAGACAGGCTGCACATCTTCCTTTTTTTGGCCTAATCCTTCCACCGGTGCTTTGGATTTCACCAATTTTATCCTGTCAGAAACGTTACAACATCTGTTGTCCTTTCTCATATTTTCAGCCCCTCCATCACAACTGATCTTTGCTTTGGTTTTGATTTTCCTAGTGTTAAAGTTTCAAAGAATTTTAAAAATGGCATTCTAATATTTTACAAGGAACATTTAACTGTACTTGCTTTGTCATATATAACATCCATCCCTCTATTCATCTATCATTTTATGTTTTTGATCCACTTCAAAATG